AACAACAACAACAACAACAACAACAACAACAACAACAACAACAACAACAACAACAACAACAACAACAACAACAACAACAACAACAACAACAACAACAACAACAACAACAAACAAAACCATCGCAACTTCGCCCATCAGAACACGCACGGGAGACGTGTCGAACAGGGCAAGCGCCCTAGGACGGGTGAGCCCACCCATAACTATGCCGCCCCCCCCCCCGAAGGGAGGCCACTCGTTTGGCTTTTCCTCCCCGCCCCCTCCGCCCTGCCGCATGTCGTCGCCCCGCCTGTGCCGCACCCTTGAGCGGTCACGGCCGCCTGGACTTCTGCGGCCAGTCGCGGGGTTTGGCAAGGCCTGCCGCAGCAATCCGCTCCAGCTGGCTTGCCGCCCCTTGGCCCACAGAACCTCCTGGTCGGCATCTGCCGTCAGGAGGCACTCCGGTTTGCGCCCCCCCACCCCCCCCCCGCTGCCCTCCTTCCCCCCCGCAGTCCCATCCCTCCCCCCCGTCCCCCCCATCCCCCCCCTTCCCCCATCCACCTCCGCATTCCGACCCCTCCCCCCCCCTCTCATCTAGCCCCCCCCCCCCTTTTGCCCCCCCGTGCGCTACCTGCCCCCCCCCCGCCCCCCCACAGGTCGGGGCTTCCTCCGCCGACGTGCGGGCGACCGCCGTGCTGGTGCTGACGTGACACGCCCGCACCCTACGCGCCGGACGTCCTCCTGCGCGCTGGGGTCTCGTCATCATTGTCTTCCTCGTCGCCGCTCTCCTCCTCTTCCTGATTTCCTCCTCGTCCTCGTCCCTCCTCCTCCGTAGCCATTTTGGCTCAAGGCCAAATGGCGCTTCCATCACTGCCTCAGTGGCGTAGGCTCCCATCCAGCGTATCCGTGTTCTTGCAGCATTGCAGCATCCACAGGGGCGAGCTGCCGCCCGATTCCACATCGTCTCGGCCCCCCCCGAGGGCCACCAGATGGCGGGCGGGGGACCGCGCGCCAAAGGGGCCGTGCGCCAGGACTGGACCTGCAAGACCTGCGTCAGCAAGCGTGGGCGTGCGGTGGTCAACTGGGGGACGGCGCTCGAGTGCCAGGCGTGCAGGCTGACCAAGCACACGTGCTTCGGGGCGAATGTGCCACTGCCCCCGCCTGGCAAGGCGGCGCGGCAGCCTGCGGCGGCGAGCGGCAAGGCCCCGCCATGGGCTGGAGGGTCTCCGCTCGCGGTGCAGCTGGCGCAGGCGCAGCGGGAGCTCCAGGACCTCAAGAAGCAGCTCAAGGTCGCCAGCGGCGCTGGCGGCGTGGGCCCGCAGCTCGCGGCGGCCCAGGACATGGTGGTCGACGACGGCACCGCCGCCGGCGCGGACGACGCGGCCCTGGCCGCCGATGTCAAGGAGCGCGAGGCTGGCCTCCATGCGCTCAGGGACGTGGCAGCGGACTGGGCCGAGGCGCCGCGCTACGAGTTGCGCGCCCGGCTCGAGAAGGCGAAGGCCAATCGGTTCGCCAACAAGCCGCTCCACGCCAGGACGCATGCCATCGCCAACAAGGCCAAGCGGTGCGCCGAGCGGCTGCACAGGGCGGACGGCGAGATGCGCAAGGCCAAGGAGGCGCTCCAGAGGGCGCAGGAGGAGGTGCAGCGCACGGAGCAGGCACGCGCCGAGCTCCTCGCGCAACAGGCGGCGCTGCAGGCGGAGCTGGCTGCGCTCCAGCAGCAGGCCCCGCAGGTGCCTTCTCCCCGCGCGGCTGGCCAGGCCATGGCGTCGGACGTCATCGGCGGGCTTGGGCATCGCGGTCGGGGAGCTGGGGGCCATCATGCGGGCGCAGTTGGCCGAGCACCCTGACGACGAGCAGCCTGCCCCAGCAGAGGCACAGAAGCGGATGGCGGGTGTGCTGGGCCAGCGGCCGAGGGCGAGGAGCACGGGTCCGCGGACGGCAGCGCGGGCGGCGGCCCATCGCCTGCTGTCGCCGCCGCCCAGCAGTCGGCAGCAGCGGCTGCTGGCGCGGAGGATGCGAGGCCGTGGCAGCCCCACCAGGAGCTCCTCGAGCAGCTCCAGCAGCACCTGCAGAAAGTCGGACTGGAGCACGAGGGCGACGATGCGGCTGTGCGAGCCCGCTGCACCGCGTTGGCCCGCGGCGGCTTCCAGCCTTCTTGCGGCGCTGCCGGTCCTCAGCGCGTGGTTCCCGGCCATGGAGAAAAGCAGCATCGTTGCCTTGAGTGTCACGGCGGGTGGTTCCTTGGCGCCGTGTGTAGAGGGGTTGCGCCAGCGCTCCGACGCCGTGGTGCTGCTGGTCCAGGAGCACCACGCCAGGGGCCACGACAGGCTGGCCACCTTGCAGCGCACCATGCTGAACCACGGCTACGCGGGCGCGTGGGCCGCAGCCGCCGCAGGCGCCCGCGGGAGCGACGGCGCCTCTGGCGGTGTAGCGGTCTTGGCGCGGACCCACGTCGTCGTCACCAGCCCTCCTTTCCTGGACTGCCCTGTCCTGGCTCTGGGTCGTGGGCGGCGACTTCAACGTGTCGGCGAAGACATCCCCCATGCAGCTGGTCCACGACGCGCGAGGGCTGTGGGCGGCGCCCGACACGGCTACCTGCAGGCTGCGGGTCGGCGTGTGTTCCGCCATCGAATACTTCCTGTACGCAGCCAACCTGGCGCCGCGGTTGGGCAAGCTGCAGGTGTTCGAGGAGGGCGCTGCGGCACCGCACCTCCCTGTGGCGGCCACGGTGCAGGCCCAGGACCTGCCCATGAAGGTCCGCGTGGTCCGAGGCCCGAGGCCCATCGGGCTCGTCCCGCCCCCCTGAGGTGTGGACCCCTTCCCCAGGGGCCGGTGTTGCATCCTTCCTGAACCGTTGTATGACAGTCCCGAGGCCCAGCGACGGCCCCCAGAGGCCGAAAATAGCGACAAACCTCACGTCGGAATTTTTGTCACGACGCGAGGGGGTCTGGGTCCATGAGTTATCCTCCTTGCTCTTCGCGTCCTCGTCCTCGCCCTTCTACCTGGTCCCTCCTCCCCCTCCCCTCCCTCCGGTGCCGAGTCCTGCTCTCTCGCTCGTGCTCCGGCCGCTGCCGCTGCCGGCCCCAGGGGCGCCGACGAGGGGAGGAGGAGGAGGAGGAGGAGGAGGAGGAGGAGGAGGAGGAGGAGGAGGAGGAGGAGGAGGAGGAGGAGGAGGAGGGGGAGGGGGAGGAGGTTCAGTGAAAGGGGTGAGCACGGATACGGTCGGGAGCTTTGGCTTGGCGCATCGCGCCGCCGGTTCTGACCCACTGCGCTTCGGCGCGACACGGTATCAACGCTGCAGCTCCCGAGCGTCAACGGCCCCCAGCCCCGCGGAGCGGAGCGACACGCTATCCGCAAGCAGGGCATCGTGTGTCGCCTTGGCCGCCGCCTCGACGCGTTAAG